AACAGGTGTCCAAATAAAAACATTTATGTACATTTGTTTACAAAATGTTTGGCACAAATGAGGAACATAGCAGCTCTATTTACAGTGGTCAAAAGTTGGAAACAATCTAAAGATCCATCAACAGATGAATGTATAAACAGAATGTGTCTTTTTACGTGCAATAAAATTAAATATTATTCAGCTATAAAGGTGAATTAATGAGACATATAAAGCAACAAGAATGAACATCGAAAACATTATGCTAAAAAGAAGAAACAACACACAAAGAGGAATATATTGGATTATTCCTTTCATATGAAATATCTAGAATAGGCAAATCCTAGAGAGACAAATGGCAGATTAGTGTTTTCCAGGTTCTGAAAAAGGGGGGACTAGAAAGCAGCTATTTAATTAGTTCAGGGTTTCCATTTACAATCATGAAAACAAGATAGTGGGGAGAGGTGCCCAACATTGTAAATGTACTTAATGCCACTGAATTGTACCATGGTTAAAATTTCACCACATTAAAAAACTTCCAGGGTCCTGATTAATTTAAGCCCATTCTTGTACCATATTGTTAAGATCGAGAACCTTCCAAAACTAGCAGAGTAACAATCTATCAAACAGAAACAGCAATAGCTGTTGCCATGATTCTGGAATTTCTTTCAATGTGTCACAAACTATCTTTATATATTTTACATATTATACAGAGTGCTTTGTGAAACAAAAGTTTTTACTGTTGTTGTTAATGATAAAACCGATACTTTAAATTTGCTAACCATTTCTTTCTCTAGGAAGAGTTTTATATTACCCCAGGGTAACATAAATTCAGGGAGTCCACAGTTTATTAATTACACAAAATTCAAGCACGAACCCATCCATATTCTGGAGCAAGAAATAGCAGGATTGTTATAGGCTTTGTTCTGGGCAAGAGATTAAATGTTGTCGATAGAATCTCCTTCTGTCACATATTTGCATCCTAAAGACAAGAACCTACAGGAAAGAAGAGATTAATGGTCCAAATGATTTCCCTTTGAGTTTCTAAGTTATTGGCATATTTCTGATAAAAATGGAATAGCCCCAATGAAATAACAATATCTTTTAATTAGAGTTATGAAATTAAACAGCCTGTGGTACAAGAAGAAAAAATCCTAAGAGAAATTCGAAAATATTTGTAACTGAATGATTGTGAAAACACAGCATGTCACAGTTTATGGTAGGTGGCTTAAGTTTTGCATAGAGAGAATTTTATAACTTTAAATGCAGATATAATGGGATAGAAAACTTTAATCTTATAACTCAAGGAGCCAGAAAATATAAACCAAATCAAGGAGACAAAAAGTAGGAGAAAAGAGAAAAATAACTTTTCGTAATAATAAAAGCCAGTGAAATAGAAAAAACAAACAGGAAAAAAAATGCAACAAAGTCAAAACCAAGTTCTTGAAAGAATTAATAAAATTGAGAAAATCCTAATCATACTATTAAGAAAGAATATAGACTATATAAAGAATAAAGAAGAAACATTACTACAACTTTTACAGACAAAAAATAAGGTGACATTTTTAACAAGCTTTAACAAATCTAACAATTTTAGGAGAAATAGACAAATTCCTTGAAAAGCACAGCCTTCTGATATTAACATAAAGATACTGAATTTCCTTAAGAAGGTTAAGCAATAATTTGAAACCTTTCTATAATAAAAACTTCAGGTCAGATGGCTTCACTGCTGGATCCTACTAGAAATAATGATTATTTTACGTAAGTCCTCATAACAAATAGAGAAGAATAAAGTGACCTCATTTTATAAGATTGTTAGGGGGAAATGATGTCCTGAGCTAATCCCATACAGGCTTTGTGGGCCCCACCCCCACTCCAGACCAAAGCCATCAAGATATTGGGAAAGACAAATCCCATCACCACCAAAGGGAGGGTGGCTGGGACCTGAGGGTGGAGTTGGGCAGCCAGGTTGGATATAAAAACCAAACACGTGGGCCTTGGGGGGCTCGCTGTCACTCGCCTCCTGGCTACATAGCTCCTAGCTTGCAGCCAGCTCTCAGAGCACCATTTTGGGATTCCTGATTGGCGGATCAGGTAGGACTCATTTAAAACCTTGTCTCCACTTTTCTCCCTGAGCTGTACATTTCCTCATTTCCCTTCCCTTGTAAATAACCTTTTATTAACCTTTCGTGTGTGCCTGCAGTAGAGCATTGATAAGTCCTTTTAAGCACATGGGTGAGGACCCACAGTCAGGCACCCCGTTTTGTATTGGGGTTGCTCTACAAGATCAGTATAACCCTAACACTACAAACTGACAAGAACATTACAGGAAGAAAATGAACAGAAATGCAAAAACTCTAAACAAGGAATGGAGATTAAATTTACATGTCAATCATTAAAATTTAAGGACTAACAAAATAAGGAAAAAAAATCATCGCTTCAGTTTAAATGAAGAGAAAACATTTGATAAAGTTTAATAGTTCATAAAAAAGAAACCACTCACTAAACAAAGAACAGAAAGAAACTTCCTCAATTTGAAAATGAGCATCTGAAAATACAGTTAGTATCATACTTAAGATTGAGAACAAGATGGGCCTCCCTGATGGCACAAGGGGTTAAGATGCAACATACGAGGCTGTCTGCAGCCACTGCAGACAGGGAGGTGCCCACATGACGCAGCAGACCTCTCCTGTCTTGCCCGCTGCTTCCCTCAGCAGTGTATTTCAGTCGATCTGCCTGTTCTGTTCCCCACTCTGTCTCTGGTGAATCCTCTCACCACCCTCCCCCACACCTCTGGCCTGTACCCCAGTTCTGGTGCACATAAATAAATAAATCTTAAAAAAAATAATAAAAGCCTTGTTTAAAAAAAGATTGAGAACAAGATAAGGATGTCCACTCTTATAATTTCTGCTCATTGCTCTATGGAAAGTATATGCAGTGCTATAAATTTAAAAAAAGCATAAAGGTAATAAATATCTTTATGAATATCATAATATCATAAATATCAATCTTTATGAATATCATAAGATTTCAGCAGAACTTCCAGGCCAGGTGCAATGAACATTCCAATGCAGGCATAATCAACAAGTTTGCTTACTTAAAGCTCTTTCCCTTTCAAGATTCATGGCAGGGCCTCAGCACTCTTATCTACAAGGTCGGGCAGCCGGCCAAGATGGTCTCTCTCCAAGGCCATCCCCGAATGCTTACACCTTTTTGCCCTTGCCTTGCCCGCCTTGTCTGGGGACTTTGCCTGAAATGGTTGTGCGTGCTGAAAAACGATGCTATCAATGTAACAGATATGGAGACAGTTGTGTATAAAAGGAACCCTTCGTCTTTAACAGGTGCTCAGACCTTGCACGGGATACCAGGTCTGGGACCTCATGCATGAGTAATAAAGCTTCTCCCTGACCTCACCTTTCCTGAAGTACTGCTTGTTCTTCCTCTTCCTGGGTAAAAGGCTAGAATTTATTTCTACAAGAGTTAAAGTGGAAAAAGTAAAACTTTTTTATTCACAGAATCACAGATTACATGATCATATATATAGATCCAAGAGAACCTATAAATAGAAACTGGAGCCATTTAATGAACTTAACAGTTGAAGCTTACAAAGTCAGAATATAATACCAATTATATTTCTGTACATTAGCAACAAACAACTGGAAAATCAAATTAAACACAGAAATATCATTTCAATAGCATCAAAAAATTGAATATGCTAGAATTATTTAATGAAATATGGACACAATATCTTCATTGAAAAGTTAAAATCATTAGAAATTAAAGAGACTTAGATAGGTATATTCTGCTCACAGTTTGGAAGACTCAACTCTCCTTAACTTGATGTGATTGAATACAATTGCAATAAAAATCTTAGAAGAATTTTTAATTTTTTAAATAGACAAGTGATTTAAAATTTATATGGAAATGCAAAATGCCCAAATTAGTTAAGACATTCTTGAAGAATAATACAGTTGGAGGACTTGCTTTACCCTAAAAATAATGCGCATTTAGGAAAATTCAAATAAATTAATAAAACAGAATCTGAGTTCAAAAATAGACCTGTGGGCCTCCCTGGTGGCCTAGGGGTTAAGTCTCAGCACTCCGCCTGAGTTCGATCTGCCAGGGAGCTGACCCACATGGTGCAGCAGATCTCCTTGTCTCATCCACTGTTCCCCTCAGCAATGAGTTTCAGTCAATCCACCTGCTCTGCTCCCCACTCTGTCTCTCATTCCCCGCACCTCTGGCCCACACCCCAATTCTTCTATGCAATAAATAAATAAATAAATTTAGACCTGTAATATACAGTAAATAAAAGCTTCAGAGCAATTCAATTAAAAAAAAAAGGAAATTCTTCCAACAAGTGATCCTGGAATAATGAGATACCTAATATAGAAAATATTAAATTTGACCCCTAATAATGGCTAAACACCATTAATTTTTAAAAATCTAAATGTCAAAGCTAATACTATAAATCTACTCAGAGAAAAATTAGTAGACTACCTTCATAATAATTCTTAGCAAACATGGGCCTCCCTCGTGGCGCAAGGGGTTAAAGCGCCGCACTATGAAGCAATCCACAAGGCTCTGAAGCACAAGTTTGATCCCCAGCGGGCCAGGGAGCAACCCACA